CTAATCTGTGGGTATAAATATATTTAGATAGCAGTTTAACTACATGTCCATTTAGTAAAACAGTGGTAGCAGATTACAACCTGGAGCCTGCTTTGGTCAAGGTTTACAGTGCCAGGAATGTAACTTCCCATGGAGTGGGCCTCACATCCAATCAGAATGCAGCATTACCATTGGAAGGGTCATGCCACTATTGTACCACTGGCCACACTTGTCTAGTTGGTCAGTTTTGCCAGTCCGGTAAAATCATTGATTACTTTTCTCTCCTAGTGGCCTGCATACAATCTCCTGGCTTATAGATGTGAGCCAGCAGGGAGAAGTGGCCAACTCAGTTTCAGCTTAGATTATACTTTTTGCTAGTTTACAAAGAAGTAGGGATCTATATGGCTTTAAAAATACAGTTTTAGGCCAGGCGTGGTGGCACATGCCTTTAATCCAAGCACTTGGGAGGCCAGGTAGGCAGATCTCTGTGAGTTCAAGGCCAGTCTGGTCTACATAGTGAGTTCCAGGACAGCTGGGGCTACAGGGAGGCCCTGTCTCAAAAAGATTAAAAAAAAAAAAAAAAAAAAATACAGTCTTAGTTTTAGTTGATCCACTCCCAACCCCCTACCTCTCTCCATCTTTTCTCTCAGCCCTTTTTAAACCTTTACACTTCTAGTATCCTCATAAATACTTTCATACTGCTGCCCCTACCTGTCTGACCTCCTCCTTCCCCACCTCTCATGGCTCCTTTGTTGTTTACTGGCCTATACAGAGACTCACTCCGACTTAAATACAAAAATATAAACATTAAAATCTAGGATCTGCATATGAGAAACAAGTTTGCCTTTCTGGGCCAGGGTTACCTTACTCAATGTAATACCTTCTAGTTCCATCTATTTTTCTGAATATTTTAAAAGTTCATTTCTCTTTAGTTCCGAATAGAATTCTGTTTAAGTAGCACATTTTCATTATCTATTCATCAGCTGACAGACATCTAAGCTGATTCCATTTCCTAGCTATTGCTGCAATGAATGTGCAGGTATCTGTTGTAGGGTAGAGTATCCTTTAGGTATATGCCCAGAAGTGGTATTGATGGGTGTAGTGGTTTGAATGAAAGTGTCCCCCATAGGTTCCAAGTGTTTGGACATCTTATTCCCAGTTGGCAGTGCTGTTTTGGGAGGTCTTAGAAGGTGTGGCTATCCTGGAGGAAGCATGTCACTGGGGGTGGGCTTAGAGAGTTCTTAAGCCTTGCCAGATCTGAGCCGCTCTCTTGCTTCCTATACCTCCTTGAAGATGTGAGAGCTTAACTTCTGCTCCTCCTCCAGCCACCTTTGCCACCATGCCTCCTTGCCAAGAAAAGACTATAATTCCCCTGGAATTGTAAGCTCAAATAAACTCTTCATTTTATAAGTTCCCTTGGTCACGGTGTTTTTTATCACAGCAACAGAAAAGTAACTAATACAATGGGTCATATGGTAGTTTTATTTTTAGCTAAGAAACCTCCACACTGATTTCTAAAGTGGCTGTAACATTTTAGACTCCCACCAACAGTGTATAAGGGTTCCCCTTTCTCCTTAGCCTCATGAGCATCTGTTGTCATTTTTGTTGCTGTTTAAATTCACTCATCATTATTGTGTGCAATGCTATGTGTGTTAAGGGCTGCGTGCCAAATGAGTGTGGTCAGAGGACAATTTTATGGAGTTGATTTTCTCCCTCCATCTCTATGGAGTTTTGAGGATCAAACTAAGTTTGTCCTGCATTTTAGCCAACCAAATACCTTTAAACACTAAGATAAATCACCAGCCTGTTTTTTTGATAATGGGCATTTTTATTGGGGTGAGATAAACTCTGAAAGTACTTTTGATTTGTATTTCCTTAATGGCTAAGGACACTTTAAAATTTTTTTATCCATTTGTATTTCTTCTATTGAAAACTCTGTACATTTCTGTAGCCCTTTTTTTAAGTTAGGCTATTTGTTTTTTTTTTTTTTTTTTTTTTTGATGTTTAGCTTTTTTGAGTTCTTTGTATATTCTGGTTTTTAATCCTCTGTCAGATTTATATCTGGCAAAGCTTTTCTTCCACTCTGAAGGCTGCTGCTTCACTTGATTAACAGTTTTTTTGCTGTAAAAAGCTTCTTAATTTCATTTCATAAGGTCCCATTTGTTGGCCTTACTTCCTAAGCAACCTGGTGGAAGTCCTAGTCAGAAATTTCTCACCTATGCTGGTATCTTGGGATATCCTCCCTAATTTTTCTTCTAGCAGTTTCAGAGTGTGATGGTAATGTTAACTTCAACTTGACAGGATCTAGAATCACCTACTGGCCTCTGTGCATGCCTGTGAGGGATCATCTTGATTAGGATAAATGATGTAGGAAGAACCGTCTTAGCTGTGTGTGGGACCATTCTCTAGTGTGGGAATCTTAGGCCAAATAAAATGAGAAAGTCAGCTGAGCATGCATTCATCTATCTTTTTCCTGATGGTGATGTGATGTGAGCATTCATCTATCTTTTTCCTGATGGTGATGTGATGTGAGCAGCTGCTTCAAGCTCCTGCTGCCTTGTATTCCCACCATGGTGGACTACATCTTGAAACTGAACTAAAATAACCCTTTTATCCCTTAAGTTTCTTTGGTCAGACTATTTTATCACAGCAACAAGAAAAGAAACTAAGACATGGAGTTTTGGGTTTCAAGTTGAGATCCTTGATCTATTTGGAGTTGATTTTTGTGCAGGCTGAGAGATGAGGATCTAGTTTCTCCTGCATGCAGATCTCCAGTTTCCCCAGAACTATCATTAAAGATGCTGTGTATTTTTGACATCTGTCCAAAATCAGATGGCTGTGGTTGTGTGGACTTAGATTTGAGTCTTCTATTCCAATCTCTGTATGTTTTGTGCCAATACCCTGCTGTCTTTATGACTGGGGCTCTTCAGTATAACTTGAAATCAGGTATGGTAAGGACGCCAGCATTATTCCCTTTTCTCAGGATTGCTTTGGCTGTGTGAGACCATTTGTGATTCCATATGAATTTTGAGATTTCTATTTCTGTGAATAACAGTATGGGGATTTGACTGGGATGTCACTGAATCTATAGACTACTTTTGGTAGGATAGCTATTTTCACAACATTAATTCTTCCCATCCATGAGCCTGTAACTCCAGCACCAGAGCATCCAAAACTCCTTTTCTGGCCTCCTTGGGTACCTACACTCACATGCATGAACCGACACACAGACCCACACATATACCCATAATTTAAAATAGAAATTTTTAAATATGTAAAATATTGTGAGAATTGTCAAAGTGTGATGAAGACTGTGGGCTTAGTGAGCACAACTCATTAGAAAAATGACTCAGACAGCAGACAGACTTTTTTTTTTTTTTTTTTTCTTTTTTGAGACAGGGTCTCCTTGTAGCCCCAGCTGTCCTGGAACTCACTATGTAGAGCAGGCTGGCCTTGAACTCACAGAGATCTGCCTGCCTTTACTTCCCAAGTGCTGGGATTAAATGTGTGCACCACCACACCCGGCCCTCAGACAGACTTTTTCAATAAGAATTATCACAAACTTTCAATTTGTAAAATATGTATTATCTGCAAAGCACAATAAAGAGTTATGTCTAGCTATACACCACCCGGAACACTTCAAGGCTGCTCCTTATTGACTGCTCTATTTGGTGTACATTCTATAAGTTTTGACAAAGGCATAATGATATGAATGTAACCATATTCTTTTTTCTATTTCTTTCCAAGTCAAGAAATTTTGGATTGTGTACTGAATACTGTGGATGTTATGCTAAGGAGACTGGATTCTGATTTGCTTTCTCAAAAGGGTATGATTTTTATTTTTTGGCTTTGATTTAACAAGCAGTTATTAACTAAATTGAAACTGTAAAATCTGTCCCCCTTGGGGAAGTTATCTGTTAAAATATTAATCGTTTTAGTCTTAAGTTGGTTTCTTGGTTTTCCTTCTGCACTTAAGACTCTAAAGATTTGGGAAGAATTTCCACACAAAATTTGAGCTCTCCCTCTCCCTCTCTCTCTCTCTCTCTGCACTGGGATATTCCCAGAGACTGGGTCTGCCTGGACCTCTGTCCTCCCATCTTCAAGTCTAAAAGAATACATTTTTACCTTACCAATTTTTTTTAGCTTCTTTGTATAAAGTAAACTTTATCTTGACCTCAGTCCAGTAACTTTCTTAAAAATTAAAAAGCAAATTCACCAAGTTCCACATCTTTCTTTCAATAGGTAAAATAATCTTAACACTCTTTAAAGCAGTTTTAGGTTCATAGTAAAACTAAGCTATAATAGAGAATTCCCACATACCTCCTGTCCTCCCTCATGCACAATCTCCCCTGCCCATGACATGGTGTACCAGAATGGTGCATCTGTTACAACACGAACCAAAAGTGACACATTATTATCCAGAATTCGCCGTTTACATTAGGAGTCACTCGGTGTATATTCTATAAGTTTTGACAAAGGCATAATGATATGTGCTCTGTTATGTCAAATAGAAGAGTTGGAGTGTCTTACTCCAGATATGTATTCATCCTTGTCCTCAACCCCTGTCAATCACTGATATTTTCACTGTTCCATAGTTTTCCCTTTTTTAACAGGTCACATAGCTGCAATACACCATGTAGCCTTTGCAGATTGGCATCTGTCACTGAGTGTATATTTTCTTTCAGTTTCTGACACCTCGTCTTTTATGTACCTGGTTTTGGTACAGCATTTATAATAATAATTTCAAGGGAGGTTGATATCATATTACTTCTCAGCTATTAAGGAAAAATTAAACAGAAAGTAATACATTTAACAAGAATCATCAGACTTCTGACCACAGCTTAAGTCTGATGTACCATCACTTATCTTAGATCAATCTATAATTATTGAATTTCAGGGATGAAGTAGATATGAAAAGTAGATCCTAAGTCCTATTATGTGCAAGGAAATACCATTATTGCATAACTTACGATGTACCAGTTACAAAAAGATCAATCATGTTGTAAATACATGCAACAAACCTGCCAAGGCCGTTTCACTTATAGATTTAATTTGTAGAAAAACTTCTCCTTTCAGTGAAGTCCAGTTTTGAAAATTATCATATATCTCATATTTAATACTGGTTAGTTCCCTTTTAGTAAAAGCAAGTAATAAAAGAGTCTTATTCCAGAAGTATTTGTATTCTGATAATCTTTGGCTGCAAGTAGCAAAACAAAAAATTAGGATTTTTAAACATAGTAAGTATGACAACAAATATTTCTTCAAAATTGGTCTCATCATGTTCATATAATCTACTGTCTAATGGAAATATTTTTAAGCTAAAAAGAGAGAGATCTCATATTATGGGGAAACAATATATAAACTGGGAATATTGAAGGTACATTGAAGTACACTGTAATGTCAACTTATTTCCATTTTGTTACTTAACTACAGAAAGGACAGGCATCTTCTATGTGGCGTAGGTTAGCCTTCAGCTTTTGTTCCTCCTGCCTCATCCTCACAAGTACTAGAATTACAGACATGCACCACGTCTGGCTTATTAAGTTTTTTTATTAATTCAGGAGGAAACATTTAGATTTGCTCAGAACAATTTGGTCATAGAGCCTAAATCAGAGGCTTAGATTCTCTGTGATAACATTCTTACAACATGGCTTTGTGTGGTTCCAACATGGTTTGACAGGCAGTTAAAAAAGCTAGAGTAAAAGATAGTCAAAGATCTAGTCTTTGGCTTCATCCGATGCCACAGCTCAAAATAAGCACATTTCTGTCATCTCGGTGACCTTTGCTGCTTCGTATGTCCTGACCCTAATCTCCTTAATGATCAAAGACGTAGATTTGGCAGGTATCAACATAAAGGTGATCACTGAAATTAAGGTTTGCTCAGTACTTGTGACTCCAATAAATTAAGAGCCCTGGTGTGGAAACTATGTCTTTCTTGCTCATCACAATGTCCTTAGCATCTGGCACATACTGACAACATAGTAAATCCTGACCTAGGCCAAAGCTGTAGGAGCCAAGTATAAACAGTGGGGTAGTTCCATTAACAAAGGAGCACAGGCTACCTGGGTGATATTCTCCTGCTGGTTCACTGCCAGGTTTCTAAAGAAGGGCCAAGGAGAATTCTGATAATAAAAATGGTCTTGTGACTCCAATGGAGGGACCCAGACAGAAAAACATTTGGGGACACTGATCAGACTCTATAGGCCTTACTACACACACACACACACACACACACACACACACACACACACACACACTCAGATAATAGACTACATTAAATTGGCGGGGGGTGGTGGTGGTGATAGGATGTGTAGCTAGGGGAAGGAATCTAAATACCATCAATTTATATTGTATGTAAGTCACAAAAATACAATTAAAAATTAAAATAAAATGGCCTGTAAGTAGTCTTCCTTCATGCATTCATCCAACAATCATTTATTGACTATCAGTTATGAAATGTGGATGGCCAGCAGCTTATCACCAGATAGTGCATTAAAAAATTATAAGCCCCATGCATGCCTTTAATCCCAGGACTTGGGAAGCAGAGGCGAGGGAATCTCTGTGGGTTTGAGACCAGCCTGGTCTACATAGGAGTTCCAGGCCACTAAGGCTATCTAGTGAGTTCCTGTCTCAAAAAACAACAACAAAAATTATGAGCCCAGAGAACTGTTTTATTTAAAGAATGTTTAAAGAATGTTTCTGGTATTTTGTTTTGTATTTGTTTAAACAATGTTTCTGGTATTGAGAGATAGATTAAAAGCAAAAACCTACACTTAAAATACTCACTCAGTATCTTTTTTTAGTTATCCTAAGTCTGTGTCATTTTTCGTATTAATTTATTTCTCTTTTCTTAAGTGTTAAAAGTTACCCAAATCAAAGAAGAACCATTCTGGGGCTGGAGAGATTGCTCAGTAGATTGTTCTTCTAGAGGACCAGAGTTCAGTTCCTACTACCCACATTAAGCAACGTTATTACATTATTACCTGTAACTCGTACTCCCAGGTATCTGACACCCTATTCTGGCCTCTACAGGCATCTGTACTCACATGTGCACACACACACACACACACACACACACACACACACACACAATTTTTAAAAACCTTTAAAAAAGAATCATTTTCATCATTCCCAACATGTTCAAGGTCATGTATTTCCTAGTTTCTAGTTTCACGGTAGTTTCTAGTTTCTTTGTTTCTAGTTTCTTTATATGTTTTAAGTCCTTCAGAAGTTATATAGGAGGAGAATCAACATTACTTATGCTGTATACTTCTAAATTTAGGGATCTATATTATCATATAGAAAGTTTTCCTGTTCTACCATTTTTCATCATGTGACTATCATTCAGGAGATCAATTAATATTCAGGAAATATTAATCAAGAGGAAAATGGAGGGACTGTGGAGTAACTCGATCCCCAACATTCATATAAGAAGCTGGCCTGGTGACACATGACTATAAACCCCATTGCTGGGGAGAGACAGACAGGAGGATACCTGGAGCTCATTGGCAGTCACCATAGCCAAATGGGTGAGCTCCAGGTTCAGAGAGAACCCACCTCCAAAAATAAGGTGGAGAGCAATAGAGGAAGATGTTCAAGGTCAACCTCTGGTTTCCACATGCACAAGCACACAAATGCACAGGCACATCCACAAATGTGTATGCTCACATACTATATACACACAAAAGGAAAACAGATTAGTTACTATGTCTTCGTTTTAAATGTCACTGAAAAATAACAAGGAGTTAAGAGAACAAGATGTTTACTCAATCTAAATTTTATTACTGAAACAATTTGATTGATATAATGGTGGTGGGAAAGTGAAGCTATTTTCATTTTTCTCAATAACATCAGAAACAATATTACTAAGATGTGTCTGTATGTTCACCAAGTTTGGGTTAACTCTATCTTTTTAATCTTTATAATTTTCAGTTCTTTAAAGACAACCTTACCTGGAGAGTTGTAATTGTTTTTCTTTAATTTTAAATTCATGTTGTAGACAACTTAATTCTTTCTGTACTCTCTGAAATTCATTTTGTTGCTTTTTTAACTGCATGCTTGCATCTTGAAGTCTAAAAATACAAACAATATCCATTACAAGTTTCAATATTTCCTAATGAATCCCATTCTAAAATTAAAATTCAATACACTTTAAGAAAAACAAGTAGATAAAGAAAATTATTCATCTTTACATCGCTGTGTATGAAAAAGTTACTGTGTACAAAAAACATGCATAAAAACACATCTAACAGTTGTTATATCAGGAGAAAAGAGTTGTATTAGTTTGGTTTCTCTTTTCTGTGATAAACACTATGACTGAAATCAATGTGGGAAGAAGAGGACTTCATCCTTGGGGAAAGCCAATGCAAGAACTCGAGCCAGGCAAGGACATGAAGGAGGAGGAGCTGAAGCACAGACCACAGAGGAACAGTGCTTACTGGCTGCTCCTTTGGCCTGTGTTCAGCCTGCTTTCTCATACAACCCAGGACCACCTACCCAGGGGTATACCACTCACAGTGGGCTGGGTTCTCCCACATCACTCAACAATCAAGAAAATGCCCTACAGACATGGCCACAAGTCAAAAGATAGAGGATGACTTTATATCCATGCTCAGGTGCCAAGGATCTCAGAAAGTAACCAACTGTGACTAGTAATAATCAGATACATAGAGATTAGAGAAGCATGTGCAAACATCTAAGTGTTAGTAGCATTAAAAATGAGTTTTTCTGTACGAAACAGTATATTTTAAAACGAAATGGAGATCTTTTTTAAAGGTTAAAACCTCATTTAATTTTATGTCTTATAGCGTTTATACTGAGTTCAATATTATACAACTGTATTAATTCAACTGTGAACTTAGAAATTTACAGCCAATTTTGAAAGAGACATATCTTTGCTCTGGAAATTGTTATTGAATATGTCAATGTTATTGTAATGAAATGCCTCTTCTAATTATATGGTCATTAAATAAATAATTTTAAAAAAGAATAAAGAGTAAGGGACTAGAGCGGTGGCTTAGCATTTCAGAGTACCGTATTTAAATTTTACAATAAATATATAAATATTAACTAGAGTCATTTAGTTTTATTAAAGATGTACATAATTTAAGATGTTAAATATTACTGAAAATGTTACAAGAAAAAATAAACATTTCCTTTTATGCCAATTCCCACTGCCAACAGCAATTGCTTTCAGCATTTCTCATTTTTTTCAGTATTTAATCTTCATACTACTAATAAAGTGTTTCTGCCTTTTCTTAATGTTTCATTTTAGATAGTATCTAATAAATTACAAATCAGTTACAATCTGATTCTGCTACATATAACTAAGACTTTAATATCATACAGACACACAATTTTTCATAGAACAAATGTTAGGTGTTTTGCAAATGATTATAATCCCAGAACAAAGGAAGCTGAAGCAGGAGGATCACTACAAGTTCTAGGCCAGTGTGTTCTACACATTGGCTTTAGGCCACCCAGGACTTCATAGCAAGACCCTGTCTCAAAACAAACAAAAAAAACCAAACAAACAAACAGCACTGGTATGATAAGCTATACAATGTTCCTAATGTTATCAGGACTCCCTGGTCTGGAGCGTGTCTTCATTCCCATGGTCCACAATAGTGGTATTGCTTCAACCATTTTATTCTCAGACCAGCTGCAGCAAGAGAACAATGCTTTCCAAATCAATCTCTCAAAGCACCACAGAACACTGCTGCTGGATTTAAACTGATCACACTCAGCTGCAAGGGAAGCTAGGCGATGAATTCACTGAACTGGGAAAATCGACCTTCAGGTTTATTAATAGTTCTGTTATGAAAGTGGAAAGGAAAATGGGCATTGGAGTGCGCAGCAAATAAAAACTAATCCCCTAGACATCTCTAGACACCTGCACCTACCCCCTGACCCTTTTCCTCTTCTTTCCAATATAATTCAAGTAGTACTTTTAATTAAATAACATTCAGTATTTCCATCATTTTGACTAGTAAATCACATGCTATGTCAGATTACATTTGTGATTTGTCCTTGGAATTACAAATGTTCTTTTTCCTTCTCAGTGTTCTGTGTACACTGATTCTTCTTCTAACCAGTTCCTCGAGGCAGCCTTCCTGGGCTCTGCGGTTCCCTCTAGTCCACTTCTGATCTGCTTTGACCACATGGCACTCACCTGGAGTTTCCTCCTCTTTTATGCATATGTAACTTTACATACACGCTTATTCTGAAGTCTCTAGTTTACTACTTTTGGTGGAACAAGCCCTCTAGGAGTTTTCCATACATTAGGAGGCAAATTTGACACAATAAATGTCATAAAACATCTTAGATTATAACCCAGAAAGCAAGAGTGAGTCCATTATTCAGCTAAATTAAAGAAAGAAAAAAAAATCTTCCTTACAGAGAATCTGTAATTACTAAATGCACAAGGAATGAAGAAAGGAGAAAATATCCATAATAAAATAACAATAAGGAACTATTTCAGGCAAATTCTATTGAAAGTTTCTTGAAAAACAGGTGAAGGTTTCAGGAAAAACAGACCATTTTTATAGCTTCATGTTATCTGCCCCAGGACATTTTTTAATTTACTAAGAGAAGAGTAATAACTTTACAGTGGAATGAGCTAGCAAGGCTCAGAACTTTTTTTTTTTTGCCAAAAATGACTGATCTCAATATATAATTACAGATAATGTCTGGCAAACACAGATTCCAAGATAGTCTATAAAATAACCAGTATTCTTTAAAACCCTCAGACATGAAAGAAAATACTGAGAATTTGTCACAGATTGAAGAAAACTAAGAAAATGCGAACTCTTAAGTGCAACAGACATTCTAGACTTAAATTGTGGACTGGGGAAAAGAACATTAGCACAAAATGATAAAATCAAAACCTGGAGATCAGTTAACAGTATTACACCAATATTAACTTTTAGTTTTTTATAATTGTACCACAGCAATACAAAGTGTCAAATTTGAGAGAAGCTAGGTATCCACAAATTCTCAAAACTGTTTTGGCAACTTTGTATAATCTAAGATTATTACAAATTTAAAAGTTACAAAAGAATGACTTGGGGCTAGAAAGATGGATCTGTGGTTAAACACACTGCTGTTGTAGAAAACCTGAATTCGGTTCCCAGAATCCACATCAGGCAGCTTACAGTCACCTTTAACTCCAATTCCAGAGAATCCAGTGCCACCTCGGGCCTCTGAAGTTGCCAGGAACAAATGTGGTGCACGACATACATGTAGGCACTCATTGTGCTGGTTAGTTTACGTCAACTTATGACACAAACTAGAGTCACCTTGGAAGAGGGAACCTCAACTGAGGAAGCTCCATCAGATCAGCCTGTGGCCATGTCTGTGAGGCATTTTATTAATTGCTAATTGATATAGGCAGGTCCAGCTCACTGTGGGCAGTGCCATCTCTGGGCAGGTAGGCTTGGGCTGTACAAGAAAGACAGCTTAGCACACAGGGGAAGCAAGCCAGTAAGCAGCATCCTTAATGGTTTCAGCTTCAGTTCCTGCTTCTAGGCTCTTTCCTGTGAATGTCTGGCCCGACTCCCCTCAGTGATGGATTGTGATCTGGGAGTTTTAAGTTGAAATAAACCCTTTCTTCCCTGACATGCTTTTGGCCATGGTGTTTATCACAGCAACAGAAAGCAAACAAGGACACGCATACTCATAAAATAAAAATTAAATATTTTTAAATGACTTGCACATATACAGTGAGTAATTTTTACATGTCAAAATTACCTGCAGTATAAACTATAATAAAATAGAATAGACAGACACATTTTACAAATTATAAGTAATGCAATATTTTAGTTAAAAAAGACAACCTTCATGATCACTTGTCATGACCAGTATATTCCCACACATGACCATTGTTAGAAGAACAATACAATAAAGAGTGGTCCAGTGGAATGTTATACCAAAAAAAAAAAAAAAAAAAAAAAGAAGAAGAAGAGGAGGAGGAAGAGGAGGAGGAGGAAGGTCCTTGTGGATGAGTCAATCCCTGTGTTGTAGCATGGGAAAAAATGCTGAGACTTAACAAGGAGAAGAAAATGCAAGTTTGCAAGTTATAACTTACAGATCAGTAAGTACAACATTAACCTATGTATTTTTATGACTATTAAATATATCTACATATATATTTAAACTTTAGGAAAAAATGGAAACAACCTTTGCCAATGTTAAAACAGGGTTACCTGAAGCAGAGAACCAGAACTGGGCAGGCTGAGCAAAAAAATTTCAGTTTTTTTCTACACTGTTTAGATTATTTACAATGAAGATATATTTATGCATTACTCAAAAATCTAAAATTGGAAGATTTGAAAGCCAGGTCAGTCTGGTTACATATGTATAAAAATATTTTGAGTTTACAAATGAGAAAATATTTAGAAATATTAGAAAGTAATTTAAGTTTATTTAGTATAATGCTATCATTTTAATGTGTTTAAAACTCCATTCTTCCAAGCAAAGCCAGCCATGGTCGAGCAGGACCTTTGACTCATCTTCACATAGACAGAACTGGTAAAAGAAAGGAGCCACGGGCTCCTCCCAAACCCATGTGACCCCTGAGGAACAGATCCTCAAATGGCCTTAAGAGTAAAAATAAATTGGTTTATCTGGGCCAACTGTATGACCTTAAACACCCAAAAAGGAAAGTATTACCAAAGATTCAAGGGGCCAATATAATTTTTTAAGAGTCCATATGTTTAGCTAAAGGCTACATAACAAGAAACAATGCCAGATAGGAGATACCTTCTTTTGAGTTGTTGGCCAGGGTGGCCCAAGTGGCTCCCAGATAGTAACCCAGGATAGAACTGGGAAAATGAACAGCAGACTCCAATATTATCTAAAGGAATATTGACAACTGATTGCTGCTAGATGAGGAACAACTGACTTTCCC